AAAATAACAACACTTGAAAAGCAGCATGAATTTTATAATCATGGTTAAGGACTGACAGACCAAGGCACTGTTTTTTTCACTGAGTGAAACAGAAAACAAGGAATCAAAATTTCCATGTTCTGTTTCAGGTTTTTCATTAACTTCTATTTGGAGGCAAACAAGTGCCATCCTTCCCTGCTTCTACCTCCTACAGGCAAGGCAGAGCTGTAATTTGGAACAGGGCTGTCCTATGACTTTAAGACTGTACAATGATGGAAAGCCTTGGTGAATGATCCTATGGAGATATAAAATGATTAATCTACAGGCATCTGAGAACACTTACGACTTAGCTTTTGGTTTGGTATCTGTTATTGCACTTATGGGGCTGTTAATAATCTCGTAATGCACATCAGGCCTTATCTTAATGATTAAAAAATGATTAAAAAGGGTCTGTTTTATCTCTAACTAGCAAGAAATGCAATTATTTTAAGTAGTGCAAAGTCTCTACCACTCAGAACTGATATTAAATGGTTTTAATAACTTGGCTGGAGGGTTCTTTCAAGGTGCTAGAAGCACATCATCCCTCAGATGAGCATGTTGTGACAGCTCTGGAGCTGGTGTGGGGGCAATGCAGAGGGGCAGGGAGCCATGAGATCAGGGCAGAGGGATGTGAAGAAATTGTAGAAATAAGGCAATTTGCAGTCAGGTGTAGTACTTTAGCTTGAGGACAGCTGGGGAGGTAGCTGGGAAAGGCCTGGGTGGGAAATCTAACAAGGATGACAGAGCTGGGGGACACAGAAGGATGAACATGTGCTTAGTGGAAAGTGAGAGGGCTGAGGGGGAAAATCTCTTTTCCTTCCACACCAAGACCTTGTGCTGACAGAAAATCCGAGAAGCAACCTTTGTTTCCTAATGCTGACCTGCTAGTCCCTGGGAGGCAGGGACAGTGCTGAGACCTGACAGGTTTGCTGGCAGTGCTGGGGTGCTTCCCATCATGATCCCCCACCTCTGAAACTTCCAGTGCTCCTCAAAACCACACAGCTTCATGCAGAGATAATTAACTGTGTTATTAGCAGGGATCAGACTTCTGTTTTAAGTGGAATAAATCCAACCGTAAGCATGTGGGTGTCACGTAGATGGGCGTCAGCCATTTTTCACTTGTTCTTCCCTCACAGGAGACATGTTTCATCTCCCCAACAGCCTTTACACATCAGCAATAGAGTTAAGACTTAAAGCAGAATAAAAAATGGACAGTTTTTCAACCTTGTCACATCTCTAAGAGGGTGTTCTGTTGCTCAATTCAAATAAACCCAGTACAGAAGAGAATTGCTGATAAACTGAGATCTTTCAAAACTCCAGTTAAAGGCAATTTTATATCTCCACTGATATTAGGAAGAATATAACTACTGCTGGACACATAGCAACTAGCAAGACCAGCTTACCAACTGAGAGGTGCAACTGACCTGCTTTAGAAATGGGCAAGGCTCTGCTGAGCAAATTGGAATTAAACTGATTGACACTACAGAAATTTGGCCTGTTATTCCTCCTGCACACCCCAACGATGCAGCTTGGAAGTGATATTTGAGCAGTAAGTGGCAGGTATGTGCCTGTGTTGTGCTAAGTAAAGCCAACTTCATCTGAACCCAGCCCAGCAAAGATTATCAATGTGTGCCTGAAGCACAAGGGTTACAAGAATCTGGAGTTGCATCAGAAGTGCAGATTTTTAGTTCTGTACTAGAGAAGCTTTACATAAATGACACCTAAATAACTTTCTGCCCAGCTCCCTACTTTACACCTTGCTTTATTTCTGGTGAAACACCTATTGAAATAGCACTGCCACATACCTTTGTTAACAAACAAATATTCCACCCAAAAGTGTCTTCCTGAGCACACAGAAGTGAGTCCCTGGCCACATGGGAGCCACAGGGACTTTGCCACTTGGTTCAACTAGCACTAAAACTACTCCTGTAAAAGTGCACTTCTACAGTTGCACTGCAATCTCTCTGCTCCAGACCTCTAGTTAAATGCATGTTAAAGTCTAGGATCAGTCTGCCTGGCAGTAAATTAATGGCCCATGGTGTAGCTACTGCTGTGATGCCTCTTCCATTAAGAGTAGCGGTGCTGCCTTAAGTGGCTTGTATGTCCAGAATAATGGTGCTCGTGGCTTGCACCTGTATAGGGGATGATGCTTGTTGCATTTAAACTAGATTATATGGCCCAAAAGGCATTGCTCAGCCCAAGAGGCACTGCAGAGCTGCAGTGTTCCAAAGGGAGACTTGTGGAACACGGGACTTCTGGCATGTCCCTCCATGCATCATTTCAGGAAGTTTGTGCAGACCCCTTTGCTGATTGGCTTTTGCTGCCTCTGCCTTCCCTTCACCTACAGGGATGTAGCAAGTGTCAGTACTGCTGTGTTGGCAGCCTTGAACAAGCATGCAAAAGCCAGGAGCCTCCTTTGCTACCTCTGCCCCTCTGCTGGCACAACATCCAGCATCTGGTATGGGTACACTGATCTAGAAAATGATCCTTAAATATTAAGGGCAGAGATGTTGGGCTATTCTGGATTCATGCAAGGTTCCAGTGCACTGGGCTGCTGCTGGCATTTTGGATAGTAGCCTAGAAGGCACTGGACTTGGAAAGTTCAGTGCTTGGTGTCGGGATCTCCCAGCAGCCTGCCACTTGGCATGCAAAGCAGCACAGAGAAGGGGTGACTTCTTCAGCTTCTTTAAAAGAAAAAGTAGAAAGGGGAATAAGAAACATTTACCAGCTTTGAAGGTGGGAAGGATGCTGAGGCTTTCTGCTTTCCTTTCCCATTGCCGTGCTCCTTGTCTCTCTTGGGCCCCATGTTGTAAATCCTACGCTCTCATCGGAAGAGTGCTGGCTGCAGGCTCCCTCCAGAGCCCGTTGACGCAATCTGGGTCATTCAGAGAAGGTTGTCAGGAATGATCCTACACCTCCCTGCTGTGCTGGCACTGAGCTTTCCCTTACAGGGTATGAGAGGTGCTGGGTTGATCCTGAGTCCTGTTCCTAAACCTGTCTGACCCAACCCCCTGCAGCCCTGGGGCTCCTGGGGGGTGTCCCCGGGGTCCTAACTGAGGTTAGGCAATGTTGGGACACCATGTTGGGGACACAGGGGGAAATATCCTGTGGCATCTAGCCACCCATTTTTTTGGATGGCAAGAAGTCAGTGATGGAGGCTAGGACTGGGTATCCCTGTGAGGCAAAACCCACCTGCCAAGGGGCTGCCAGAAAATAAGGGGATTTCTAGCAGGGCAAGGAAGCCCTCCTGGGGAAAGGCAAGAGTAGGTTATGACAGAGAGCTAATCTGTATGGCTGTTTCATAAGTTTCCCCAGTGCCTGGACTCTGTGCTCAGCAACAGACATTATATGTGCTGAGAATAACTGATTTCTCAGAAGCACCATGTAAAAATATGTGGAAGTCTGAAGCAAACTATGGCAGTTCCTTTATATTTTAGTGTTATCTAACAAAATCTCTCCCCATTCCCACACCAGGTTAATATAAGGGGCCAGATGAGCTGTCAAGCACCACAGTTTGTTGGAGGCCACCCTTCACTTGCCAGCTCACATTTCTCACGAATCCTCACCTTTATCCTTGACCCTGTTTTAGGTGTAAACCTAAGTCCTAACATGACAAACCTAACTCCAAAGCTGCTGTTTAGACCATTGTCAACCTTCTACTCATTTACAGCAGCCAAAATTCACAAGCAAAGGCAGAATGCAGGTGCTCCTCCAGCCCAGGGACCACACCACAAGGAGTTTTGATACTGCTGGTCCCTGTGCTCAGAGCAATTGTGCTGCACAGCAATAATCACAAGCAACTAATTTTCAAGACTTTCCAGATTGCTATCATGTGGAAATGAAGACTTAAGTTCCCAACCGGACACTTGTCCTATTCAGCTGCAAGTTTTTATCCAAATTATTTAAATGCTTGCTGCCTCAGTTTTATGTTTGTCCCTGACCTGCCTGTTTGCTATTCTTGAATTAAAATCACTGTGTAGGATACAGTTCCTCTTCTAGCAGCTGCTTCTTCTTGTACATGTTTGGAAAAACAGACTCTGAATGTATTTTGGGGAATATGGATAATCCAAACCAGCTCAGGGTTGGAGTAATGGCACTGCTGTGGTACAGCATGATGTCTGTAAGCTGGGTAGTGTGGAAGTTTGTGCTCTGCCTATGGGAAGTTGGTGTACAAGTCCTCAGTCCTTCTCTGTTTTAAATGCAAACATAAATGACTCCAATTCCCCCTAAAGTAAATAAAGATTATAAATATGAAGTCAAATAAGACCCAAAAGCCCAATAAGTGCATTAAAGCTGGCAGCATGTTTTAATTTACTACTCCTACACCTTCAATTTGCCTGACACAGCTGGGAAGTGCTGCCAGTGAATGCTGCATGAGCTCCTGTGTGTGAAGTTGGAGGGGAACGGACAGAGAGTTAACCGCTGGCTGTGAGCCACAGCTTGGAATTTCCTGACAGTTTTTCCTTGTGGTTGCTGTCAGGGAGTGTTTCTTGTGTCTCTTCCCTACCCCATATGCTGTTTTCACTCTCTATCGCAGCATTCTGGAGTATTTTGTTTTCCAAATGAGGTCCACAGGGTACTCTAAGTTGTCCCCTTGTGAAACATCACAATATGGATCACTTAAACATTACTCTAAGCCTCTAACTCCAGCCCACAAATGCTACCAACAGTGAATTCATTCCTCAGAAGAGCAAGTGTAATTTGTAACTCAAAACAGCACTTGAAACTGTTTGACTAATAAAATGTCCTTCACTTGACTCCTCAGTTAGAGCCTGGCTCGTGCCAGCCTCTTTTCAGATGTAATCACTCTAGGAAACACTTTTTCAGTGTGCACTTAGCAGCAGAGCCTGAATTTGCTCTAATACATGCTTTAATGTTTACTCCCCAACACCTCATGGCAGCCCATCTAAGCTCTCTGCACCATCCCCATCCCAAATGCCTCAGCCCATCCTGCAGCTTCCCCCCTTAAGGATCAGGTTTACCTTAGCAGCAGCGGAGCAGCAGTGCCCAAAATGGAGATTTCAATGGGATCTGGCAGGGAGATTTTCCCTCTCATCTACATACTCCTGTAGTTTCCACCTTTGGGAAAACAGCCTATCTACAAGCAGAAGGTTTCCATATATCTTGTCTCTCAATGTCTTCAAATACTTCTTGCTGCTCTTGTAGTTTCCAGGCAGTTTTAATTACTTTCTGTTTTTAAATAGAGGTGAAGCACCAGAATTCAGTAACTATACAGAAAGAAGACGTCAGAAGGAAGTGGGTGTGAAGACCCTCTGAATAAAGTCAGCCCAAAAAAAGCTGAGCTTTCTCTCTCCAAACTTTATTTCGTGAAGCTCCTCATTATCCCCACCTTTATAAAAACTCTTCTTCCCATCTGCTCTGCCTGTGCATCCCTGACTGCCGGGGCTCCTCTGGGACATGATGGCCATTCCTGTGAGGGCAGGATGCTCGGCGTGGAGTCAGCGCCTTTGCTGTCATTTGCCAAAATTCATCCCTCTCATCTGCTCCTGGGAAGAACACTGCAGGAGTCAGGCGGAAAAATGAGCTCACGTTGGGGCAGTCCCAATATTGTCCTGAGCCCGTGGCCAGCGCACAAACAGGCAGCACCTCTCCTGGCCAACCTTTACTTTCCGAAATGTCAGGGCTGTGCAGAAGCAGGCGTTCAGCTCTTTCTCCAGTGCTCACTCATCCCTGTGTACTCTTGCATGTGCTGGTGTGAAATCAGGGGCTTCCCAGACTTTCCCTCAGTCACCTCCATCAGATCACTTTGTCCTTGGGTGGTATTTGCTTTTCTGAGTCAAGAGCATGCCAGCGAGACGCTCCTGTTTGTCTCTGGCTGCTCACTGATTTCCCACGCTGTGTGCTTGCTGTTTGCTCCTATGGCAGAAGCAGAAGCTGCTTCTGCTGGTGTGGTCCACAGTTGGACTTCCCCCCCCCCCGCCCTGTTTAAAACGTAAGGTCTCACAAATTAAGAAGCTACAGCCTGTCTAGGTCTTATATCAGTCAGTCTCTGATTCATCAGAGAATCTCCTTGGTAACTAGCTGTTCCTCTCTGATTTGCTACTAAAAAGCTCTCCCAATTTAAAGATAAAATACAGTGAAAGCAGAAAGAGGAGCTACACCATATAGATACCTTATACAGAAGCATATGCCTTGTGTGCAAAGAGCTATACTGGATATTTTCTGATGTGTGTGGGAAGCAGCCTCTCTGTGAGACAGCATGCTATTACCCTATGGATGGCAAATGTGCCCCAGCTGCCTCATCTCTGCTAGAAATCCTTTTTCCTGCTCCAGGGCCAGTAACCCCATCTGCAGGGTAAATAATCCCACAGGAGAAGATGAGGTTGGCATTTAACAAGGGACTCAGCAGTTCATGCTTTAATAAGCCAGATTTCTGGCCTTGCGTGGGACAGATTGCCAAGTACAAAGATTCAGAGATGGGGTGACTTTCTGCAGGAGGTGTACCTGATGTGTTTGATGCTGTCTGATTGCCCTCTGGCTCTGGTAATGAGCCCCTGTTGCCTGACCCCCTCCTCAGCACACAGCAAAGTGCTACCTGTGCTCTGGTGTCTGTTGGAGTTGGAGAGAAGGTGCTCACTGAAGATTTGGGGAGTTTTTTGTTGTTCGTTTGTTGTTGTTTTTTTTTTTCCTAAGAACCAGCATTCCTGGAAAAGTTGATCCCAGGTGAGGCTAAGAACACTTAGTGTTTGAAATAGTGACTAATTGTGCTCAGAAAGTCAGTGTAAGTGAAAAGTTTGACCCATGAATGCCTGAGGCCAGGAAGCTCTGTGGTGAGACTTGCCTGGGGTTATTAAAGGATGAGGCAATGGTACAGAGCTGGGAATGAGTATTCATGTTATGCATGTCTGGTGCACCTACAGCCAGAAAGCTCTGACTCCCTGTGCATGCTGTGCCTGCTCCAGCAGGACTGTGCTGCTGAGAGTGGGGCTCTCTGTGATGCTGAGCCCACTGGGGTAGAAGAGGGGACAGACAACTCTAAATGAGTGCAGCTGAGCTGCTTTCAATTCTTTTTACCAGATAAATTAGAAATCAAAAATCGTTCCTACAATTCTCAAAACCCAATTGCAAAAACTACAATTGCAAAACCCAGCCAGCAGCCCTTGCCTTGACTCTTGCCAGAAGCAGAGGGAGAGAGGCAGGTCCACAGCCCAGACACTGGGTAAGTCACCTTCCTCTCCATATTTTCTCATTAGCCTTATGCACTTCCTGTCCCATAGCACTAATTCCTCATTGCTACAACAAACAGCAACAAAGCACCAGATCCATGAGGGTTTTTTTTTATCCCTGCAAGAGGCTTTTGAGCTCACTGTGAGAGCTTGCTCAGCCCTGGGAAGCACTCAGCAGCTGGAGGAAAGCTCCTGCAAGCGGTTCTGGCAGTAGGGCTATTGACACCATGGGTGTCATTGACTTGAGACAAAATCTGTGTTCCCATAAGGTGTTGTGGTGTCTCTAATGTCTGGGCAGGAGAAGCCCAGGATTATATACTCTGCTTGGGCAGGCATGATTCAGACCTGCTCAGATTCAGACCTGTGGTTGCAGATTGTTTAATCTTAGCAGGCAAAAGCTTGTGTTTTGATGTGCTGCCCATACCAGCAAAGCCAAAAGTGCTCACACCTTCATTTATCAAGTAATATGGGTGACAATAAACTGGTTCTGATAAATGAGGGTTGAGATAATCAAGCTCATTTTTGATGCAATTGAACATGTCAGGAACACGACCTCATTCTGGATAAGGGATGAGCTCTTAGATAATCAAAGTTGTGATAGGCAAGGCCTGACTGTCCCCCCTTGATCAGGAGAAAAGGGATGATTGATGCTCGTCCTCTTCCTTCCTGCTCTCCCGCTGCCACTGTGCTGAGGCCTGGGGAGGGCAGGTGAACCCCTGCTGTTGGGGTCTGGTGCTACTGTTTCAGACCTGAAAGGAGGTACAAGAACCCTCTCCTCTGCCTCTTTCCTGCCTTTCAGTTTTCTTCCTGAAGCTTCACAACCTTTGCTGCTACCATATTTCTGAGCCCATGCCTCTTGGTGGGAGGGAAATGGGGGGGCAGAAGGAGCCCCTGATGGAAGCGATGCCTGCCGGCATATCCTGGTTGGCTTCATCACCAGGATCCCTTGATGGAGGGAAGGATGGAGAGAGGTCAGGTCCAACAGCACTGGTGCCAGTGTTGGGGTCGCTAATACCCAGTGCCATTCTGTGACCATGGTGGGGCTGAAGCCACCAGCCTGGGAAAAGCAGGATCATTTTTTGTTTTGTCCAGGGGAAGCAGGAGCTCATCTCCCCCAGGTGAGCATCAGGGCAGAGCCTGGGTGTCATGTCCCACTACACAATTCTCCTGGAGCAGAGGATGCTCCCTTGGAGCCTGTCCTGCCCCATGGAGGCAGTGGACAGAGCAGAAGATGGACCTTTGCTGAAGCTCTGGAGCAGCCAGATCTGAATTTTTATGTTATACATTTTAATCACACTGTTGTGACATGGACCGTGGCCTGTGGAGAAGTGGAAAAGCATCAAAACCTGCTTATTCCTCACCCCTCACTTGGTGCCTGCATTTTTCAAGTGGTTCCCCTGCAGATGCCTGCAGATAACATCTCCTTGTCTGGGTTATTGCCAACCCTGCGTGGTTTTAGTTACAAATTCATATTTATATATACATAAAAAAGAGCTTATGTACAGTGTTTTGCTCTTCCTCTCTCCTTTGCAATGTATTTCTATTTTGGGAAGAGGAGCAAAGGTGGCTGTAGCTATTTATAGCAGGGGAAGGAGCATGAAAAAGGATGCCCACTGCCTGGATGGGCACAGGGCTGTCTGCCTGAGGGCAACAGCGGGTCCCTGCCATCAGAGATATAGGGGTTTTTTGATTTTTTTTGTGTTTCTTACATTTTATTTCAATTGCCCGTCTAATGCTGAATCAGATATGAACTTAAAGGACTGTTAGTGGCAGTGAAAAAAAAAAAAGAAACGTGTGGAGCATCGGCAAGTATTTTTTATGAATTGGATCTCTTGAGATGAAAGCTTCATTACTGTGAAACAATGAGCCCACTATACTCTTAGTAGTACAAATGGGTTTCATTTGTATTAGGAAGATACAAGCTTATTACTTTTAGTTTGTTCCTGTAGCACCAGGAATGTTTAATGTGATAATCAATGTAATTGAGGAACTGAAATTACAGAAAATTGCAACACTCTCAGGAGTGATAATGGCTGCAGCTGCAGCACAGCCAAAAGGTTGGGAGGTGGGCAGAGGTGTGGTTAAAGCAGACTCACATCCCAAGTGTGGATGATCCCCTGTCACACTGGGATCCATGGGAGTGCATCAGGCATCTCTGGTGCAGCCCTTGCATGAGGGGCACCTGTGTTTGAACAGGTCTTTCCTGAGTTAGGGTCACCCTGGATAGGGTCACAATTTGGCCAGTTTGGTTTTTGGGGGTTTTTTCCTCCTCCCTCTCCCCTGACATTGCAAAAGGTACACTTTTGACACCCAAACCCTACTGCCAAATTCTCAGGTCCTTTTCCCAAGTACAAGGTTGCTAAAGATTTTCAATTAAATGTTTCAGAGCCTTAAACAGAGACAAAACAACATTTCCTCTCCAGCCTACTGCTCATAAAACGTGATGCTGTTTTGTGAAATTTTTCACCTCTGAAACTCAGTCTGTAGCAGGCACCCAGCACGCTTTCAGCCCAAATTCTATGAAAAGCATAAGTAGCAAAGCTCCTTGGAGGACTTGTCAGCTATAGGAAGGTCATCTATAGCCCAGCAGCGTGGAGCTCCTACTCTAGCTCTGGGGAGCTGCTGGTTGCCATGTACCAAATCCAACCACTCCTGCATCTCCAGGCAATTTCTCTGCTCATTTCATTCCCTCTTTGATACAGTGGGTTTTTTTGGTTGCTTGTTGGTGATTTACTCTGTGTTAGTCCATAGAAAAGGTGGTGAGAAGGAAGGCAGCTCCTTTTCTCTGCCTTGGCAGCTGCCCCTGGGCAAGAAGGCTGCATGGGACACCTGGGCTGCACTGCAGGCTGCCCAGACATCAGGCTGGGCAGGGATGGATGAGGAGGAGTACCTAGAACCCAGGGAAGATGGAATATATTTCAGATGCAGCCTCTGAAGCTGCTAAATTAAGTCTGAAAGAAACAGCAGCCTGCAAGGGTGCAGCCAGTTTGTTTTCAGCCCTCTCCATTTTAATCTGTTTCACTCTGAGGAGGGAAATTTTCTCAGTTAGAGAAGTTGCCTTGTTCTAGTGGTTTCTAATAAGTCATGGCTGTAGTCACCAAAAGCTATTTGGTGCCCTCCCTTTTGGGAGAGCTGCCTGAGCTCTTCTCCCATGCCAGGAGACGTTCCCATCCGGCAGCATTGGAGCCTGTGCCCAACGCTGCCCCACATCACAGGGCTTCCTCCCACTGCCAGTCTTGAACAGAGAACTACAGAGAAATCAGATTTGTCCATTAAAAGAACTCACTTTACCATGTGCCATCAGCTGTGCCATGAGTTAGATTTAAGCCTATTGCGCTCAGATGGTACTTTGAGGGAAACTACGGAAGGCAGAGCTGAAGGTGGTGATTCATGGGCTGTAGTGTTCATGCTCTTAATGCAATTGCTTACATTACAAAGCAATTATCAGGGTTTAAAATTTCAATACCATTTGGAAGGCGTATATGCCTGGGGGTTTTCCATTTGCAGAGATGTTTCTTTTATGGTACCTTCTTGCCTAGTAACTTCACCATTTTAAGCACATCAAAGTGTTTTAGAAACCTATTTGTGATCTTTGTTGAAAAACAAAGGCAATCCTGCCAGCTCCACACAAAATACTTACTCCCTCGCAAGCTGCTCCTAGGGCTCAGTTTGGGTTTTGTGAGGTTTAATGAGGTAAAACCCCCTGTGCAGTGTTTCCTGCTCCC